ACTTAAATGCAGAGTATTGTGTTAAACTGTGACATGCCTTATGTCCTTAAAAGAAAGAAAAAAATCTGCTGTGACATACATTATGTCCTAAAAAATAAAAACAAAAAAGTATCCTGAAGCATGTATAAAAACACATTGCAGTGCATACAGGATCTTTGTCTTCATTGGTCGTTGTTTTTCCCCTTTTTATAAAAATTTTCTATTTTCATTACATACCTTATTTTAGATCCACTGGTGTCAACATCAGGTCTTTGTGCTTCTTTATGCAATTCAGGCAGATTATGCCTAGTAAGAGGGGCTAAGCAGGTAGCCATACATAGCTTCCTGCAAGCTTTCCAGCACGCTACCTCAGTTATCCTCACAAAGCTCTCAGCACTGATGCAAGAATTGGGGACTACCCTAGATAATGCCTTTATGGTTTAAGGAACTGAAATCCAGTCAGTAAAAAGGATGAACCAGGGACATTCCAGCAAGAAGGAGAGGGCTAGATGATGTTGGATGTTCCTCAGCCACAAAATGAGGTGAGCCCTATGTAACTTGCTGCATCTAGCAATACACACTGTGAGAAGTTCCCAGAGTGCAGTGAAATCAGAAAAAGCAATTTTAGTACAGGAAAGGAGCCTGTAAAACTAGGCAAGGCCAAAGGTAAGGCTGGAGTTCAGATTTAAGCAGAACTGGGATGAAGATGAGCAGTTGATACATTTCCCAAGAAAATCATATTATGTGGATTATGATTCAAGAAAATGAAAAGTCTAGCTTCTGTGTTAGTTTCCGCTGAGGAAAATAACAGAGAACATAAAAAATGGAGTAACAGTTTGAATTGCAATCTGTTGTCCTGGCCCACTGTGTATTTTAGAACACAAAGTCTGTATTGGTATTAGAGTGTATCAGTGTCATATTCTAGATAATTTATTCTAATGTTTTTTTTTCTATTTTCTCATTGGCATCTACTATGGTTTCATAGTGATGATTCATTTAAAATAATCTACAGTGCATTTTTTTGCAAAATAGTTATATGTACTTTAATTGCTTTTCTCACAGTTATTTTTATCAGATAAAAATAAGTAATTCATTAATTCTTAAATATTATGCAGCTCAGTGTGTGTCCTTGTTGAAATATGGTAATTGTTTAGTGCTTTTTATGTTTTGAAAATAATTCAATGAGGCAGATAGATATGTAAAGAATCTAAAATGTGGCCCCCATTTTCATTTTAATTTTGTATTTTGAAGGGTTTTTACAACGTCACAGAAATTCGATTTCCTCCACAACGTAAGCACAATGGTTTTCTACAGAGACAAAAGAGGGATTGGGTCATCCCACCAATTAATGTGCCAGAGAACTCAAGGGGATCCTTTCCACAAGAATTAGTACGAGTAAGTGTTAGAATAATTTATATTTTTAAGAATATCCACTCACAAAACAGTATGTAGAATTCATTTTTGTGACATTTGCTAAATTAAAGTGGTTCTAAAGCCTGAAGGTATTTTTTGCATTCTCTGAATTAGAATTAAAAAATCTGCTCCCCCACTGCACCCCTTATATTTAACTCAGCTTGATCTTGGTCTAGCTTTGTGCTGTTGTCAATCACAGCCAGTGGGGGGAGGGGGCGGAACGAGCTGCGTTCTGTTTGTCAATGGACGCACCGAGCCAGCTCAGGAGCAAACATGCACGAGTGACCGTTATGTCCTAGTGACCGTTATTATCAAAAGTGAAAGTCAAACAAAATCCCAAATTTTAAATGGTCACAAGACCAGAAATAGTAGCGAAATTTTCTTGACAGTAGATCTATCAAGTCTGGTGACTACCTGGGATTTCCCTACATTTCCCATTGTGGCTGGGAAATCTCCCCAGTGGTACACAGATAGCAGAAAAACTGGTTTTGATCCTCCCTTGCATTATCTAAATTGATAAATACATTTTGCCTGAAATTTCATGCTGTCTTGGTGATCTTTATAACCATTGTTCAAAAAGTCAAAATATGTTTTAAAGTAGATGTATAGGCAGAACTTTTTTCTTTCATTTTGGATAAAGTAATGGGGGTTATATCCCTTGTCCGTTTATTTTTTTCCATCCATTGGGAAGATTTTCCGTCACTTCCTGTCTCATAGTCAAAACAGGAAGTGAGAGGAAATCCCTGCAAATGAAGGGAATCCTTTGGGGACCCCCAGATCTCCAGAACTGGTGTCCCCACTGGGAGATATCCCATCTATTACTTTTCTGGGGACATGCCAAAGTTTGGAATTTTCTTTTACTTTCACTTTCAATAAATAATTCGATAATGGAAACAGGACAAATAGAGAAGGGAGATCTCCCTGACGGAGACACAAACAACAATAAAAACTTGACAGGTATTCAAATCCATCCAGTTTTTCCTTTAGTTGTACTTTAACTCTTTTACTCACAGATCTGTGTGAAGAAGATATACAAGAGAAATAAATTAGAACCTGCCAAAGCAGTGTATTTTCTGAATTGTACTTGTTGGGAGCAATCATGCCTCTTGTCGAAGAAGATCCTCTATGCTTGTGGGTTCAGCATCATCTTGTAAAAAGTTCACCGTGTTTCAAAGATGGTCCCAAATGAACTTCAATTAATCAATAATAACAATAGTACAATGATACCAACAGTCAAAGGCAGAAACATCAGTAACAGCAGCACAATTCCCCTTTTTCCTGCATTGATAAGCAAGCATAGAAATAATATTTCACTGGAGTCATGGGTTGGGTTTGAGGCTATCAAAATCTAACTGCTTGCCATAGGGCAAACATCCTGGATAGCTATTTTAAAGGCAAGCCACCTGAGACCTATCTCTGATATGTGAAATTGATCGAGTATTTTTCACTGTGCCGTTTGCATGCTTTTGCCTTTGAGGTATTTATTCTTCTTTATTTTTTACTGATTGTAAATCTCTTTTCTTTTAACATACAGATCAGATCTGACCGGGATAAGAGCCTTTCTCTACGATATAGTGTGACAGGTCCAGGAGCTGATCAACCTCCCATTGGCGTGTTTATTATCAGTCCTATATCTGGCCAACTGTCTGTAACAAAGCCTTTGGATCGGGAACAGATTGCTGTTTTTCATGTAAGAAAAGAAATTACCAGTATCTGTTATGGTTTAATTGCATAGCTTGCCATTAAAATTAATATGTACATAAGACAAGATATAGAATATGCTTTCAACCTAGACTGCCTAGCCTTGCTTTTGTAAATCAGTATTAAGCCCCACAACTTCACCAATGCTTGGTGGCTTGTAAATACATAAGTGTGCATGAAGAAGAAAATATTTCTTAGGAGACATCCTGAAGGGGTCACATTTGACATAATTATCATCTTGCCTTATTACTCCTTAGTTATTTGACACTGATAAAGACACTAAATAAAAAGCACATAGATGTACCTTTTGCATCTCTTTGCTGTTTTTCTAGTGCTCAGACTTGCAGGAATTTCCAGGATCATAGATGAGCAAACTTACTAGGTGGTAGAGGGGGATACGAACATGTGATCAGTGCTGAGCCCAACAGCAGAGTGCTAAACTGTCCTGAATTGCCCAACAAATTGCTATTACAGAATAAAACTTGGCAGTCATAAACTAGAAAAAAACTGTAATACCCAGAAAACCACCTTTAACACACTGAATATAACTACGGACACAACTGGATAAAAATACAGTTGTGTTCAAAACTTTGGAGAATTGTTAATACTATGTACCATTTTTAAAGAAACCATAAGTGGGCAAGCAAAACACTTTTTTTTTTAATTTCTTATGGAATTCATATTAAATTGTAGGTCATAACAGAATGGCACAATCATAAAACAAACACGGCAACAAATAAACAAATAAAATGACCCCTTTTCAAAAGTCTGCATACCCTTAGTTCTTAATGCTGTGTATTGCCCTCTTTAGCATCAATGACAGCGTGCAGTCTTTTGTAATAGTTGTCTATGAGGCCCTGAATTCTTGCAGATGGTATAGCTTCCCATTCGTCTGGACAAAATTACTCCAGGTCATGAAAAATCTTTGGACTTTTTGCATGAACTGCATGTTTGAGATCTCCCCAGAGTGGTTCGATGATATTAAGGTCAAGAGACTGTGATGGTCACTCCAGAACCTTCACCTTTTTCTGCTGTAACCACTGTCAGCTTTGCCTTGTGCTTAGGGTCATTGTTGCACTGGAAAATCTAAGACTGCCCCATGCACAGAAGAATGCAAACTCTCTGCCAGTATTTTCTGATAACATGCTGCATTCATCTTACTATCAATTTTTATAAGATTCCCCTTCCCCTTGAGCTCACATTCCCCCCCTCCCCCCAAAAAAAAACCCATCAGTGAGCCACTGCCATGCTTCACAGTTGCCAGAAAGAAGCATTTACTGCTCCAATGCCACAAAAAATGCCACAACTGTACATTTAAAAATCAGTTTTAACAAAAAAGCAGCAAGAGGAAAAACCTAAAATTGTGTATTTTCTTAAGGAGGTACAGCTTGTCACCCCTGTATGTCTGCCCCATAAATCAGAAAAAAGATAACCTTTCTTTGTTGTATTAGAAACATAATGGGGGGATTTACTAAGGGCCCGTTCACAATACATTTGTTTCTATGTGCTTTTTTTCTGCATCCAAAACGCACAGAAAGTAGGTTATATGGTTGTCAATGTCATAGTTCACATCAGTGCTTGCCGTTCTAGTGCATTCTGGATGCAGAAAAAAAGTAGAACAGGCTGCATTTTTCCTGCACAGAACTGTACTGGAACGCGTTAAATGCATCAAAAAGCACCGGAACACACCAAAAATGCACTGGAATGCACATGTCCCTACTTAAATTAAAGAAAAAGAGAGGGGATAAAATTAACGAGAACACATCAAAAACTCACCAGAAAGTATAAAAAATGCATAATAAACGCACCAGAACACACCAAAAACTCGTCAAAAATGTGCATGCAGAAATGCATCTGGATCGCATCTGGAATGCATTTTCTATAGTGTGAACTGGCAATAAAACTGGAGTGTGCAAAATGTGATGCGGCTGCATAGAAACCAATCAGCTTCCAAGTTTTACTGTCAAAGCTTAACTGAACAAGCTGAAGTTAGAAGCTAATTGGCTACCATGCACAACTACAGCAGATTCTGAGTGCTCCAGTTTTAGTAAATCCCCACCAAAGAGCCCAACAGATCAGTGTGTTTTATTAAGAAGTTATTGTGATGTCCAATAGCCAACATGAGTTGAAAACCGTAATAAGGCTGTTCTTTACTTTTGGTGGCAACCCCCTGATTTGGTGATTGGATGAAACTTTGCTAGTACATCTTAGGTCAGAAAGCATACATTTGTACATGCAATACACACACTCACTGTGCATGTTGCCTATTTCCCACTGCTGGCCAAACACGTAGCTTTTATTGCTTCAATGAAAATGAATTTGCTGTTCAATGCAGTGCCTTTGCCAGTATTTCCTGCAATATATAACCATTCACTACTCCTTACATTCCAGCTGTTCCTCTCTGGCATCACCAGCAGGGCTGGCATCAATTCTGCTGATGTTACCAGCATTATTGACTAAACCTCAAGGCACAATCCTTTCACAATTAAAGTACACCTGTCAGTTTTCCTAAATTAGCTACATAAATTAAATGTAGGCTGTTGGAGGTGTTCTAATAGTTTCTAACATCTACACAAATTTCATAGGACCCTTGAAACCTGAGTCAGCATTCAACTTCACCATGAAGGACTACAGGATTTCTGGCTCTCCAGGCTCTCTTATAGATGTATGAATATATGTGCAGCCACCTATGGGTGTAGGCATTTTTCATGTAGCCGGATTAGCAATTTTAAGCAACTGACTGTTGCAATTTGAAGTGGAAATTTAGTCTGAAAATTAAGTCTTGCAAGATCACTTTAGCTTGGCCCCTTTTGCAGGTAACTCATTAAAAAGTAGTGCCTATACGGTTTAAAATCCAGTAATACACTGCCTCATCCTGCTCTACATATGCTCAGTTGCTCTCTTTTTTTAGGCACTCTGCTGAAAATGTAGAGGTTGATGTGCTGACAGCCTAAAGATTTACTGCTGCTCAGGGGCTCTGGGCTTCAGCAAAATGCCAGCCTCCAAGCAAGAAGAAACAAGAACCATGCTGCAGGCAATTTACAGCACACACTAATTTTGGCAGCATAATTATTAATGTGGAATTCCTGCTAAAGAACATTATTTTTTATAGAGCTGTTATGGGTACAGTTTAAGAATTCCAACTGTAGTCTAATCCCTAATCAGCAAGGCTCAAATGATCTGAATTAGAAAGGGAGTCATCCTCCATCTGGAGAACCAAGCACACCCTTTTGTTACCCAGCACCCTGCTAATAGTTCATATTTCCTTCTTCTGGCCAGGCTATTCAGTATGCCCCTCCCCCATATCTTGTAGTAAATGCAACTTGGATGAGTGATTCTGGTCATGAACTTTGTGAGGCAGGCTTTGATATTTCCTGTTTGGCTAAACAATGCATGTGAAACAAAAGGATTGACTCTATATTTTTTAGAGATTGCCTGCAAGAATCAAAACAGATTTTTGTCACTTTCAGGTGCTGTCAAGAGTATGACATGTCCAGTTTTCAGGCTATTTATTGTTCAGGACATTTACCTGGATTGTCCATGGCCAAGAGATTTAAGATTTCCCAAAATATAATTTTGGAAATTTTAAAAATAACTATAGCCTTATCAGACATCACAAAAAGACAATGAAGCTGAATCTCTGCATAAAAAGGTATATTTGCTCAAAGCATCTATTATCCAGTTCTGCAGTTACTCTGCTTGAATTGACAGCGGATTCACTGATATTTCCAAATAAGTCATCTGGGACAAGCTATAGCAGTGTATCACCGGGACTGAGTTATGCGTGAAACCTAATCTTCTCTTATACTTCTACTGAGAACTGCCATATAAAATTATTTTTGCAGCTGAGGGCACACGCAGTGGATGTAAATGGAAACCAGGTGGAAAATCCCATAGACATTGTCATCAATGTAATAGATATGAATGACAACCGACCAGAATTTCTGCACCAGATCTGGAATGGGAGTATTTCTGAAGGATCAAAACCAGGTGAAACCTTTATATTTGTCTGTTCTATTTTACAAGTCATTGAAAATAGTTTATTGTTTTCTATGTATTACTGCATTTCAGGTCATAGTTTTCTATTTTTAGATCTGCTGAACTCACAGAAGAAACAATTTTCTAATGAAAAGCTATACGTCCACATAAATCTTATCTTTCAGGGTCCAATCACACTAGCATTGTATTATTGCACATGCAGTAAAACTCCTAGTGATTAGTGGACTCATGTGCATGGCCTGCTAACTGGAAATGGTAAATAAGAAATATATACAATATATATATATATATATATATATATATATATATTCACCGGCCACTTTATTAGGTACATCTTGCTATTACCAGGTTAGACCCCCTTTTGCATTCAGAACTGCCTTAATTCTTCATGGTATAGATTCAACAAGGTGTTGGAAACATTCCTCAGAGATTTTGGTTCATATTGACATGAGTTACTGTTGCCTTTCTGTCATCTCAAACCAGTCTGCCCATTGACCTCTGACATCAACAAGGCATTATCATCCATACAACTGCCGCTCACTGGATATTTTCTCTTTTTCAGACCATTCTCTATAAACCCTAGAGATGGATGTGCGTGAAAATACCAGTAGATCAGCAGTTTTTGAAATACTCACACCAGCCCATCTGACACCAACAACCATGCCATGTCATCTAAAGTGTTACTAAACCCACAACAGTAAAATCAGTCTGCTTATGCAATAAAGAAGGCTTGCTATACTCAATGTGGAACCTAAGGAGTTAATCCTCTGCATTTGTGTAAAAACGCTGTATGATCCTGTCTCCTCTGATCCTCCCCTTCTTCCAGTGCCCCCCTCTTATCTCCTGATAAGACATATCCTGTGGAGTCACATGCTCTGTTTGATGTGTATTGGTAGATAGTTTTTTTTTTGTCTTGGGAGAGTGCATGTGATCAGCACAGGGCCAATCAGGGCTGTCCAGACAGAGGTCAGGTGTCCTGCATCCGTCCAGACAGAATGAAAACTCCTCCTAGAAGCTTTAACATGCGCTTGGCTAGACGCTTATAGAAGTCACAAAACTGCTCCAACTGCTGATGAGAAAAGGTATCTAGCAGTTTATAGTTACTAAAATAATTTCACTTCCATGTTCTGTGTGCTGTGGGAGACCAGATATAGTGAATGCAGGGTCCTGGGTTTAGTAACACTTTAAATTCCCTTTCTTCCTCATTCTGATGCTCAGACTGAACTTCACCAAGTCGGCTTCACAATGTCTAGATGTATAAAATGCATTGAGTTGCTGCCATATGATTGGCTGATTAGCAATTTGTGTTACAAGCAATTGAACAGGTGTGCCTAATAAAGTGGCTGGTGAGTGTATATGCACATACGTTATATATATCACCCTCACAGCAAATCCTCACCACATCTCTCTCCCCTCAGCTCCTCCTCATATGGTAGATCTATTGCACATATCTCAATGCTCATGCCAACTCCCTCCCCCTCTGAAGAATGCTCGCTGCACACCCCTAACCTAATTTCCCCTCCCACATGTCTTTGCGTATCCTGCGTACAGCTCACCTTCATCCTACACCTCCCATATGCATGCCTACACTATGCCCTCATAGTGCACACATTCCTTCTTGGCACCTCATATCCTACTACACCTCCACACAGCATGCTCCCATTCTGCTCACGGTCCACATTCACTCTCTACTCATACATATTCCTAACCAGTCACCTCACAATGCACCCCTCTTTCCGCCAAGCACAACACATTCCTTCCCATTCAGCAGACTCCACTCAGAGAATGCCCCCTTCTGCTAAGAGCACACCCTATCTCCCTCCACTCACCCCACTTCACCCACCCGGCACACAGTGTCTCACTTTGTGCTGCTGCCTGCCAACATAACCCCCTGCACTCCTCCTCTGTAAATATGCCAGCAGTCAAAAGCCCTGAACGCCTCTCCAGCATATACTGCTCTTTGTAATACCATCTGCTCCTTTCCTGCACATACTGTCCACCGTCATATCCTCCATGACTCTACACATACTGACCACTCTGATATCATCAGCATTCAAAACTATTTGCCATCATAGCCTCCACACTCCTCTCCAGTACTTATTACTTATTATTACTATTATTAGTACTTATTATTAGTACTGCATGCTCTCTTATACTCTGCACTGCTCACACATTGCTCGTCATCATGCCTCTGCAATTCTATTCCACACATGCTGCCCACCGTCATACCCTCTGTACTCCTCTCCTTCAAATACCTCCCCATGTCATACCTTTCACACTGCTTTTCTGCACATCTTACCCACTAAAACAATTATTAAAAAAAATAATATGTAATAAAAATTAACAGTTTTAATTATAGCTTTCACATAACTAGTCTGGTTCACTGTCTTTGGTGTTTTTCTACATAGTGTTGCGGATAGAAGTAGAGCCTTGTCACATGAACTGTCAATGTCGTGTGACAAGTTTTCCCTAACACTTTTTTCATTAGAATGAATGGTGCTTTGCTTTTTTCAAAATCCTGAAGTGCTGTAAAATGTTTATTAAGCTTACTGCTGCACTTTATAAATGTGTTGAAGGATTTTTTTTTTAAAACAATAGTGTGGCCACAGCTAGGTCACAGCTGCTTTACAAGTGGGACTCAAAGTGTTGTTGCAGACATTAATGTTTTTTAAGTGCATTCATTAGTGAAATTTGCTACATTTTTATTTCTGAAGTATGTTTGTGTCCTTATCTCCCATTTAACATACAGTATGGGGGAGATTTACTAAAACAGGAGCACTCAGAATCTGGTGCAGTGGTGCATAGTAGCCAGTCAGCTTCTTGCTTCAGCTTTTTCAATTAACCACTTGCCTGCTGGGCACTTTTACATCCATCCTTCTGAGGCCAATTTTAAGCTTTCAGTTCTGTTGTACTTTGAATGACAATTGTGCAGTTATGCAACACTGTACCCATATGACATTTTTTTCACACAAATAGAGCTTTCTTTTGATGGTATTTAATCACCACTGGGTGTTTTATTTTTTTCTAAACAAAGCAAAAAGACCAAAAAGTTTGAAAACAAAAAAAAGTTTTTTTAGTATCTATTATAAAATTTTGCAAACAGGTAGTTTTTCTCCTTCACTGATGTACATTGATGAGGCTGCACTGATAGGCAGCACTGATGAGCACTGATAGGCAGCACTGATGAGGTGGCACTGATAGGCAGCATTTATGGGCCCTGATAGGCTGCACTGATGAGGCGGCACTGATGAGATGGCACTGGTTGGCATTGATGAGGAGGCACTGATGAGGCTGCACTTGGTTGTGGCACTGATGGGCACTGATAGGCAGCAATGATGGTCACTGATAGGCGGCACTGATGGGTATTAATAGGCATCACTGAAGGCCATTGATAGGCGGTACTGACTGGCAGCACTGACTGGCAGCACTAACAGGCACAGATTGGCAGCACTGCTGGGGACAGATTGGCAGCACTGCTGCGCAAAGATTGGCAGCACTGATGGGCACTTTTGGGGCTGCACTATCAGTGTAGATGTCTCCTTTCACAGTTGCTGGTTATCGGCAGTACTTTCCTCATGCTGTGACAGTGTGGTTGAACACAGCTGATAACACGGTAAAAAGAATGCAGTGATTGGCCCTTTACCATGTCATGTGATCAGCGATGTCCAAGGAAGTCATATGACGCCCTCCCAGAACTGTACGGCCACACTGTAGCTGTCATTCGGCTATAGCGTGGTTAGGAAGTGGTTAAACTTTGAAAATAAAATCTGAAAGCTGATTAATTTCTATGCAGAGCTGCACCAGATTTTGCACTCTTCAGTTTTAGTAAATTTCCTATGTGTTGATTTTTAACTGTGAATATTTCTTATTTTTTAATCATGTTTCTCTGAGCTAATATTGTTCACTGTTGTAATGTCACTTTCTCTAAATAGTTAATTAAAGCTAAGAATTAGACATTTCCATTGATTTCCTAGGATAATATTTGCAGTAGATGCCATGTCACTGCACTGAAACTTGTTCAAAGGTATCCTATTAATGACAGCATCTAGAAACCAAGTGTGTGGGTTTTTCTGTATATACACAATAGATATTCCTGTCCTGATGCTTATAACAACAAGGGCTGTGCTGTAATTTCAGTAGCCGTAGGCAACATAGATAAATATGCTCATGCTCACTCTGTAGAGCCTTCATGTTTGTAGTTGACACATAGGCATCTGGCACAGATCAACCAGTGAAACTAGTTGAATGGAATGAATAAAATGACATGTCTCTGCTATCCTGGAGCCAGGAGTCCCTAGGCTTATATGGTGGATATAGTACAGAAATACGGAATATAAAAACTGCCATGTTTAAACCTAGCCGATACTTGTATAATTGCGAATGCATACCCAGTTCTCTTTATCAAGGACAGTGATTTAGATTCATCAGGACATTGCCCAGCAATACCAAGCAGCAGCTGTCAGTAGAATCTCAAAGTATAGCCTAACTTGTATTGTGACAAACAACAGAAATTCTAGCTGTGTTGCCTATTTAAAATTTTCCTTATAATTTAGATAAGCTGTTTTTGTTGTGACACGTTGAACCCCTTCCACTGTATGTTTAGACATTCATTCAGACATTAATGTTACTTTTAAAAATGTGTCCAGTTTTTTAATAAGTCACCTGTAAGCATCATGCATTGACCAATGCTGTTTCAGTTTATTCTCCATTGCTGTCTTCTGATGTGCCAGGCCCCATGCTTTACTACCAATGATGAGATGAACTGAAGTGCGGGAAAAGTACATGGTTGATGAAAGATCTCATTTGATCCTTTCTTCACTAAAAATTAATCTTACTGACGTATTAATGTATTAGAGAATGTGAAACATGCTGGTAGAGCTTGAAGACCACAGAGTGTTTTATTATAGCCATGTACTCTTATGACCTGGAGATCCTTTTACATGTCTGTGTGAAATATGACTGCAGGCAAGAGCTGATGGTAGACACTGATGAACATCTCCCAATCACAGTTACCTACATTCTTCCAATTTTATCTATGCATATTTTGGCTATGGATGGCCAGCATTATTAAGGAAATACAATCAAGCTATATGTCTGTTTTAATATTAACTGTCATTCAAACCCAAATCTGGCATTTTCCTTTTGCATGATTACATGCCGTTTCTATTTTCTCATTTGGGGACTTGAGCACTGAGATAATTCATAAGAATCCCCACTTTTCCCATCAGCCCCATCCGCTGCAAAGCCAATAGATGTTATCATTATAGAAATATGGCTGTTGTTTTACTCTGCTGCTAATCTGTGATACATAAAGTACAAAAAACTGTATTTTGCTACATCATTACAGTGAATTGCAGTGTGGTGGGCTATAGGGTCTGTGTTCACTGTTATGTATTGTGATACATAACTGTGAATTTCTGTAGTGTCACAGATGAGCAGCAAAGCTGCTGATGATCAGTCAGTTGTATTGCCACAGGCCAATAAGCAAGCTGGTACTTGTAGTTCCACAGCTCAAACATGCAAAACTCTTTTGTTTCCTGTTATTCCACAGACATGTGTTCTAAGGCTGGAAACTGTGGGCGTTACCACACCTCACCTGTCACCTGCTGTTTTAATCAGTCAGATGCACAACCATTTCTAGCCCAGCCTGGCCATCTTTCCTTCTATTTATGCTGGGCCCATTCTCTTATTTGTTGCCTGAGCAATAGAGCAAGCAAAACTGAGGACAAACCTCAAAGCACACACCCTAAAAGATAGATGATAAAACACTCAACTGCCCTATACCACCAACTGGCACTGCCCCACCAATTCTGATCACTGTTCTTCCCCTGTCCACTCCACATAGCTCAGCTGTCTTGTCTTGTAGCATATCATTCATGGTAAATTTACCATCATTTGGGTACTGTGTGCATGAGGAGACACCTGATTCTTCACCAATAAGTTCAGTGGGAACAACACATAAATGATGCTGGTTAGCAGCAAAAAGATCTGCACTCCTTCGCACTCCTCCCTTTCCACTGCTCCCTCCAACTTCACATAAAATATCCATCTGCATCTGCTGTAACATCTGCTGCATCAAGCGATAGTAATAAAAGTCTGACAAGGGGTTTGAGAGGCGTACCTTACAACATATCAAGTGGGTCAGTATAGAACCATGCAGAGTAGGGCCAAGTATAAACTTTAACCTTGCCAAGTAGAGGCTTGAATCTACATGTCCAAAAAAACATCACCCCACCATTTTAGGAAGCATCACTGACCAGACATGTCTCTTTTTCCCAGCTGCTGAAGCAGAAGAATTTACTGTGACCCAACAACCCCATGCTCAGTGCCTTAATGTCAACTTGACAACATTACTGGCTTTACAGCTGCTCCCATTCCAGCTGGTGGAGTCTTCCCCCTTTTGAGACTTTGTGGCCTGTGCTGCACCACAGTGACAGATACCTGGCTTTCATTTTTACTCAAAAGGCTACCCAATACCCCCCACAAGCATGTGGAAGTTATTGTCTCTGTGTTGCTTGACCATGCTGTTAGCAGCGGGGTCCACATGATCACACACATGTTATTCAGCCAGCATGGATAGGAATATTACAACTCTATTATAGTGTACTGGGTAAATTTGCTGTCAGCTGGAATAGATGCACGATGGAACACACTGCTAAAGTTGGTGGTGCCACCCTGTGTCCTGCACCTTGGTGATGGTAGCAGCTATCCAGTCCTCCACAATGGCCTCTTCCAGTGACTTATCAGAACCACCATTTCCTCCCAAGTGACCAAGAGCACATGCAACATCCCAGGCTAAATTCTATTTGCAGCTAGAATGCCTGGGGTACAGGAGCTACACTAGGCCACAGATTCTGTCATTTCTTCAGGCACAAGCTGAAATATTGCTAACCTCATGCCATCGTGTGTCAGGAAAGGTTTTTTGTTTCAACAACACCAACCTGCTGTCTATCCTGCAGTAAGGAAAGTTCACACCTATGCATTGGTGGCACATGTGCTCAACCTGACGGTACAGAGGTTCTTGGCTAGGTAACCTGGATATTTTCATGATGTCCTGCAACAGGGTAAAAGAGTGTTCAGCTAATATAGGTGGCCATAGCCAGTGAGTGTTCCCCGTGACTGAAATGTAGCGGCAACAGAAGCTGTCTTTCAACTGCCTGATATGCCATGCACCCACACACTAGAACTCAGTGCTGGTTATGCAGCCACAGGCCATCGATGAGTATCTGTGAGAGTACAGGACATGGACAGGCTCTGAGGATCTGAGTTTTTTCACCACATCAGTGACTCCAGATTCAGGATGAATGTACTATCTTGTCACCATTCAAAGAGGCGGGCCAGAATGGTCAGCCTTGAAAATGTGGGGATCAGCAACATGATCATTGTGGTCTTATTGCTGAAGTGCACACTGTATGGTGTAATGAACCAGGCACAGCAGCAGAATGAAGAGGAGGACTTCCTTTTGTCTCAGGGCATGTGGTAACCTTTCACAAATCACTCCATCCATGTGAGGTAGCAACAGGCAGAGGATGGTTGGGGTACCAGAGTGAGGAAAAAAGGACATGAAGCAGGCTTCCAGGGGTACATTTCACCTCTCCCAATCCCCAGGAGTTGTACTTGGTGGGTTGAAATTATTGAGGACACCTTTGTCCTCAAAGATATTGAGGATCCGGGGTCCTCTGCTGTAAGCAATTTGTAGAAAATGCTTTTTGTTTGAATTTGTGGAAAATTGGCTCATTCATGCTGCAGTGCCTGAGCAAGGACTCTAGGATTTTAGCAGTAGAGGAGAGGTTCTGTTACTGATTGGATATTCTTTTGGATCCTATGGAGGAAAATGTCAGATCCCATGCTGCCACCACAGAGGAAGCAAAAAATGGGCCGTTTGAATAAAGTGCTGCAGAAAAACTTTTTGGCTGTCTTTCCAGAGAGTGGCAAGATCCCCATTTGTGGCCAATGTGCCTCAGGTCCTCAGGTTGCTGAAAGGTGTAACAGCCAGACCTGCATGCCGGCATGCCATGCCTAAACCATACAATCTCATAATCTCTAGGGTCCAGAGAGGAAGCAGAAAGCCTTCAAACACAGGACCCCAGAAACTTTTAGGTGTCCACGATGAACTACTGGCAGGTGCTAACTCAGTACGCAATGAAGCCCTAATTACGTAGCAAAGAAAACAGTTACTCCTACTGCAAAAGGGAAGCATCATAACAGGAGTAAAGCAAGCTCAAACAGGTTGCGATGGTCCATAATCCACAATGTTCTTGGTGAAAGAACACCAAGAATTATCCCTCTGCAAAAAATGTCACTCACAAAAGTAGGTAAGACTGCAAAATGACATCTGCAGTTACCTCAATCTTTTACCAACAGATAAAATATATCTTCTTTTAAAAGAAAGTAAATGTTTTGAAAAAACGCTAAATAATTAGAAGTTTGATTTTGAACTAATCTGATTACACCGATTGCTTTGTAATTCAAATTATTTGTGTTTTTATTATGTTCTAGGTTCCTATGTTATGACCCTCACAGCCATTGATGGTGATGATGAAAAGCAGCCAAATGGTATGCTGAGATATAAAATCTTATCTCAGACTCCAGACACTCCTTCTTCTAACATGTTTACAATCAACAATGAAACTGGCGATATTATCACATTGGCAGCAGGACTTGATAGAGAGGTAAATTATTTGTTTAATGTATGTACTGTAAAGCTAGCCAAAACATTGTTCGTTTTTTTTTTTATTTAGCCTCTGTGGCAAATCCCCCTTCTAAGCTTTCTAAGCTATTGTATTTGGACAGCTGCCAGCATTAGCTGTCACAATATCCAACCAGCGGCTGCATCTGATTGGATGCAGCCGCTGTTCAGCTGACAATTTTCTGCCTGGCTCCTTTGATTTTTCATTTGAAGGATTTTGGATATCAACCAGTTCATCAGGAGAACTGGAAAAAATGTGAACAGTGTATAGCTTGCTTTTGAGTGGGAGAAAACTCCCAGCAACAGACTTATTGCTGAAAGACCAATATTTGCTACCTTAATTGTCTGAGTATGCAGCTTGAAACTGTGAGATAGAGCTGAAAAGTCCCCTGAGGTCTGAGAGGTGCTGTCCTTTAAACAGTTTGTTGCCAATTTCCAGGTACTGGGGAGGATGTGACTTACTCACCTATTTCCCATGTGACAGAACTGGTGCTTGATGCTTGGGCTATGTCTGTCAAATAAGTGTGGGGGGAGAGTCCTTAGCCCTGTTAAAGCTTCTAGTCATAAATTCGAGTTAGACAGGGCTTACGTTCTTCCCAGCTTCTAAACAGAGTTGAGGGAGAGCAAAGGGATGGTAACTGGTGCTGGTGTTTGCGAGAAGGTAAATGAGCCTATTTCATTTACATGGCATAGGCCAAACATAGGTTCACTTTGAGCAATCCTGGTCACTCATAGAAAATATATTTAAGTATTTTGCATAAGAACTAAGTTGACCAGAAGACAAAAATGTAAATCAGTCAATTCCAGGCCTTCAATTCAGGCATGGAAAAAGCAAGTAAACAAGGCTCCCAAAAATAGATGATATGAAACAGTTCTGTATATGCAGGTGGGACCTGACTTCTGATGCTCTTTATAAAGATATACATAATGTCTATGTATAAATACAAGAAGAGAATAGGCAATAAGCTGGTATTATGTAACTTTAGAGGTGATTTTTAGCCTAACCTAAATTCCACTTAAAGTATTCTAACTTTGTAGCAATATGCAAAGGGAGTACATTGGAAGAACTGAAAGGCATCAAACTGATTGTATTTTTCTCTGTAACCAGTCTCCCAGTTATTATAGTGCAGACATGAAAAAAATTACTGACGGACAATTGCATGCAGTGGGATACAGCTTAGCTTTCTTTTGTTGGTTTAGAAAAAAGGAAAAAATTCCTTTTAGAATAAAACAACCTTGTGGACTAACAACCTTCTTGTAGTTTGCCTGTCGGACAACAGTGATATACTGTAGATGAACCTAAAAAGCTATAAAATAAAGCCCAAGGCATTTAATCATACTGACCTTTAAATAAGATTATAGAAAGGGAAGTGAAAATACAGGTTTATCTGCTAAACTGAAATGAAATATCTGAATTACATTTCCATATGACAGAAAATCAATAATTTTACTAAATGTAGAGGATATATTTAAATGTAAAGTAATACGTATTTTAAAGGTAGTTTAGTTTTCTTTTCTTTTTTTTTTTTGAGTTTAGCCCTTGAAATAGATCAGGAGCCTACTTCCTTTCTAGTCCCTATTTCAGATTTCACCAGTGCCACCTGCTGGTGAAATCTATGACATCACTTCCTCCAGGTAGCTATGAGCTTTCCAGCATCTCTGCTTGAAACAATGACTGTTGTTTCCCAAAGGAATATGAACAGCAGCAGGTTGATGGCCTTGTTTTTGCTTGCACGGCAACATGATCCAATGCGAACACTACAATTAAAAATGCTTTTCCATGTTTGGATGTATTTATTCTTTTTATGTACAAGCTATTGTATATGATTCAACCAAGCATTTTCTGGGAGAAATTGTATCATTGAATTATGCTGTCAGCCCAAAAGAGAACACTTGTTGCTCATTTAAGTCTATTAATTGTGTAGGTTTCTGTGCAATTTACTTTTTAACACAAACAAAGGTTAACACTCATTTGTGGGTAGCAGCATCCTCATATTGTTTCTTATCATTACTTGTTGCTTTAGGCTTTGCCTATATTGCAGACTCTCATTTTGCTGTGGATTTTTATTTCAGCGACCTGCTAGTAAGATTGATACACTAGGATAGGGTGAAATGCCATGGTGCATAATCAACTTACACATTATTATTGACATTTATCAAAAGAAATGACTTAAGCTGCCCATAGATAATAGCAGTTAAACAAGTTGTTGTAAATCATGTTCTAGAAGATCTTCCTTTTTTTTGTCTGCCCGTCATATCCTATTGCATAAGTAGGCACCTCCAGTGCTGCCCTATTGTTGAGTAGCAGTCAACTAAAAATCTGCATCCATTCCTTTGTTCCCCAAGGTTGGTTGGATGCCTGGTGCACAGTGCCCTTACCCCTGGCTTTGAAGATCATTATCCAGTGCTACTGGAATGGGCTGTATCTGAGACAGTCAGTTTATGTCTATGCATAGCTTAATAGTTCATGTGAAAAGCAAATTAAGGATTACTGTACAATTACAAGAAACTGGGTAATTAGTGTTAGAAGAGCAAAATGATTTTAAAGTCAAATGTTGACATTTGAACAGTGTGTGTTTTTCTCTCGTGTGTGAATATTTAAATGATACAGTTTAAATTAGGTATATTTCCTGCATTTTGTTTATATTGTAATTAAAGGTTAGGAATGATTAATTGCAACAGTGTTCATTCTTAGGATAGTTATAAATATGCAGTATCTTATAGCCTTTCATTTTTTATCATAGTGCAAAGAGTATTCTTCTGCATACATCTAAAGTAACCAGTTCAAAATCAACTTTCATTGTGTAGAACAGACTAGCCAGTCTGTAGCGTATTGCTTATTGAAGTGTATGATTAGTTTTTAACTAAGGATGCACTGATACTGGTGCGGATACTGAGTTTTTTCACAAGTACTCGTACTTGTACTTGTTCAGCACCATCACTTTCAAATCCCAAGACCTGTGAAGCACCGTGACGGTGCTAACCAGCCAAAAGCTATCTAGCCTATACTGTCATCCCTGCATGGAGAGGACAGAAAGCTATGGAGATTTCAAATCCCCAGACCTGTGAAGCATCTTTTCCTTCTGTGATGGCATAGGTTCAGTGCAGCGAGCTTTCCCGCACTGCTCTTGTGTGAGCTCAGGCTATGACAAGCCTGGGTTCACACAGGAGCAGTGGGGAAACCGCATGCAATTGGATGGATAGCAATCACATTCTTGATCAAATCGCATGCTATTGTTTGCGGTGCAATTTGCGTCCATACATTTTGTACGGACTCGAATCGCACCACAAAGTATTGATACTCATACTTGCAGAGTATTGGTGCATCTCTAATTTTAACATAAAAATTCAGTCCACTAATATGCAGGATTTTTTTTCTAAAAAATTTTATATAAAGTGGGAATATTTTGCTTTAGCTTAATAATGTATTTAGGTAAAGAGATAATGCACTACAATACAAGCTGTCCTTGTATGAAAAGTCACATCCATTCACAAGTTATAAAGTGTAATGGTTCCTCCTGCGCTAAATGAACTCAGCCCTAACACAGCTGCTAGCACCGAAACCCTTTACCTCAAAAGATTAAATAACATAAATAATGTACATATGGTGCAGCGCTAAAATACTAAATGAACAATAATTAATACAAATTAATGCAACTAACAAAGCTAAAAAAAAGGAGAGTTTGCTGAACCCGTAGGCGCGATTTTGGGATCCTGAGGATATGGGCCACGCATGATCTTATTGAGAGATGTGCAAAGTCTTTCTGAGTAAGTTGGAGATAGTAAGGCCACCTGCCTATCGATCCAGGAAGGAGATTACTCATATGGTATATGTGGAACCCGGTGTGTGGAGGTCGGCTATTGAGGAGATCTATATTGTAGGATCCTGGTGTGATCAAAAAGCGTATTGACCCATAGGGTCACTTACTGGAGGTGAGCAGGCATTTTAGCCATTTTAGGATTTGTTTTGGAGTGCACACCACACGGCACCAGTTCCTTATAAGTAGTGGAGCACTTTTTGTGTGGAGGATTCCAACAGCACTTTATTGGACTTGATTGGACATTTGATGCCTTATTGTATGTGATCGTTTTCACAGCAATTGATTTTTTCACTGCATATATTTATTATTGATTGTCTCACCATACATATATATTGTTTTTGAATATTTATTAGCACTGTGTGTATTGTGTATACACTGTATGTATTGTGAATAAGCACTGGTCACTTTGTTATTATCCCAGTATTGGGATTCACTTTGTTGACACAATTTGGTGTGTGTATTATCCCAATTTTTGGGATTGGGTTGTTTATGGTTTTCTAACTTTATATAGGGGTCTGATTTTGTGACCCATTGGATTCATTCACTAAGTTGCACTTTATTTTCTGCACTTTATTTTAGATCCTATAGGATCTTTTTAGCTGCATTAATATTGTATTAATTATTGTTCATTTAATATTTTAGCGCTGCACCATAAGTACATTCACAAGTTATACATCAGTCTTAGAACTTCAGCAAGGGATTAGATAATTTGTTTTATTAAGAAAAGATGATTTAATATAAAACATAAAAGCATTTAGTTTGAGGGTATCAGAAGCAGCCATTCACACAAATAAACTGGTGCGCTTCAAGTTCATTTGTATTGGCAAGCTCAGTGCTAAAGCTGATTTAAAAGCGATGTGCAAGTAATGTTACATTTAGATTAATTCTTCCAAAACATGGTTATAATTGATTATTTTATAGTGGTGTGCATATCACTCCAACATATATTATTTCAAAAAAGGGGCAAGGCCACCAAAATGTATTATTTTAGTTGTAAGTGGAGCCTGGTGAACTAGATAAGCCCTTGGATTCTTATATGTTTTGGATACTCTAGCACAGGTGTGTCAAACTGGTGGCCTTCCAGCTGTTGCAAAACTACAAGTCCCATCATTCCTCTACCTTTGGGAGTCATGCTTGTAACTGTCAATCTTTCAATGCCTCATGGGACTTGTAGTTTGGCAACAGCTGGAGAGCTGTCAGTTTGACACCTGTGCCAGTAAGATCTACCTGATATGGTCCCTGTTCACGCGGGGAGTTTCCCACCCAATTTTGTGTTCCAGCAGCTCCTGTTGCCTACTCAATAACTTAAAAAAATCCAACATGAAGATTGGGAACCCCTTATAATGGCTACATGAGGTGTACAGAATGAAGAACTTATGCAAAGAGACCTTAGCAGTAGACTGCTAAGAAAATATCAGGTGGTTTAACTCTCCAGCGTGTGGCAAAAACAAAATATTGGTTTTAGTTGCACTGACCCTTTAAATACAAGATCTTAAAGTGATTGTAAAGGCAGTTTTTTTAAAAAAAAATAACAAATATGTCATGCTTTGGTAATGCTAATGGTTTTGCACAGAGCAGCCCCGATCCTCCTCTTCTTTGGTCCCCCGTAAGCTCTCCTAGCCCCTCTTTCCTGCCAAGTGCCCCCACAGCAAGCACTGGCTGTGATTGACATAGAGAGAAGCAATGGCTCTTGCTGTTGTCTCATTCAATGAGGAGGGAGAGTCCCGAGACAGCTAAAAACACTTGTGCACATCGTTCGTTGGTTCAAGCTGGGGCTCAGGTAAGTATCAGAGGGGGCTGGGGGCTGCTTCACACAAAAGGTTTTTTTACCTTTTTTGCATAGATTGCATAACGGTAAAAAACCTTGAGCCCTTGCAACCATTTTAAGGCTCCATTCTAGCAGTGTTTTCCAAAAAAACAAACGCCTACTAGGTGTCATAATGTTGCATATATTAAATATGATGAAAAGGTTGATAGTTCTGCTGGTTAGTGCTATAGCTCAGCATGTAAATTATATACAATTCAAATAATATTGTACTGCTCTTTTGAAATGCCGTCAAGGTCTTTAAACAAATACTGATGCAGTTTTATGTCTTCTAGAAAGTGCAGCGATATACATTAATAATTCAAGCCACAGACATGGAAGGAAACCCAACATATGGTCTCTCAAACACAGCAACTGCTGTCATTACTGTGACAGATGTCAATGACAACCCTCCCGAGTTCACGTCAATGACTGTAAGTATGGATTATAAGTATCCGAGAAATACAGATATGAGGCCAATACGGCAGCAGCATGCTTACTTGACTTTAAAGTTTACCTAAAGACTGTTCCATCAGCTTGTACAATTCATATACTGTATTTATAAGTAGCGACAATCAAATGCAAGCCACATGGCAGAGGAGGATCACTTCTAAATGAAACAAAACAGCCATTTTGTTGCAAATCCATTTTAAGTGCATCCTCTTCAAGTCTTTTGCATGTTCGGCTTTATTTTTTATTTTGAATAATAGATGAGACGGCTGCCATATGATTTCAAAAACTTAGCTTCTGCAGACTATACAGGGCAGTTTTTAAAATATATTTTTCCATCTATGCTAGTTGCAATCTTATCTTGTTAAATGATTAATCCGATATGCCTGGTTCTATGCCTTGAGCTTGCTGTCCTTCTTGATTCTTGTCTCAGCTCTGTTAGGAAAATGAGAGGCAGAAGAAGAGAGACTCTTGTTAGATTTGTGTCAGTGCATTCAGATACTCTCAAGCTGTACTTAGAAGGCTCATGTGATGCACTGCAGAGTTGATCTTTGCCATAACAGAGTCAGCATATCTTTGCTGCCTTAATGTATATCCAGCAGACATGCTAAACTACTCTATTAATTTGACAAACACAAGGAGAATGAAATCACTGTCCTTAAAGATATACTGAGAGAATTACGGAGACTGTAAGTGCCTTAGTTTTGTGTTACCTGGCCAAGACCTGTAATGCACTTAAAGTTAGTAGCAGATATATGATATTGTGCACTTAAAGTCTTATGCTAGACTAACATTACCTAATGCTTTCTTGTCTTTTATGGGGACACAAATTTGTTGATAGGATTTCTGCAGATTTTGTGATACTTTCAATTGGCTCTCTAGTCAAGGCTATATTTGGTTCTTGCATTACTATATTAAACATGAATCAACTTTCAAATTATGTTGGGGTTTTATTACAGAATTTTAAAAAATTAATATTTCTTTGCTTTACATGACTGTGGGGATCTATTCATATTTATTTTCACTTAAGATTTATACAGTGTTCACTCAGATTTCACACATATTGTTAATTTTGTTCAGTGGTGTGTCCACATATGGTCAATGATATCAGCAGACATACCTTGCTCCTTTGTTTACCTTTAGCTTTCTTTCACAGCAGTGGTAGGGAGTGGATTGTATTAGCGGTCAAAGAGTTTTTCCTTCTGGCGGGTCGAAAGGCATCGTTCATTGTGATTGTTGTGGATCTGCATCACGTCATGTAATGGATGACATGATTCACAGTCGATTTACATTGTGGAACTTTTCGTAGGATTTTAAAATTTCCTAGAAGAAAAAAGGACTTATCAAAAATGGCTTGTCTTTATTTACATTTTTTTGGTGAATGAGAAGAAGTACTATTCACCCCTTACTCATTGGTGTAGAAAGGACATGGTATTTGGATGCCCCCCCCCCCCCTACTTTGAAATAGGATTTAAAGATTCTAATAAGCCCCCTGCCCACAGACTCTCACAACTGCTGGGCCAGGGTTGTGGAGAAACAAACCTTGTCCTCATCAGCATGGGACAGGGTGATTTGCTAGGGGGACCCCCTGGTAAGGTACCCTCCTTATACTGAGGGTATATGACCTGGCATGGTTCAGGAGGGGGGACATGCTCATGCTTGTATTCCCCCATTTCCAGGCTTTCTAGGCTGCATGCCCATGGGAGGCCCATGGACATCCATAGTGGACCCTCATCTAGGAAAAGGGTCTGGTATAGATGCAGGGATCCCCACTGTTTGGTTTACAAACAGAACAAAGCAGACAGTAGCTATCAATTACAGGCAATTTAAACAATTTTATTCTTTTTAAACTACAGCACAACTTACAGATGTACCACTTCACAGGCATGCTAAAGGCACCCCCTGGCATGGTATTCAATGGAATTTAGCATTTTTAATGTTGCCCTTTAAGCATTATTAAAATTGCTGCTCTCTGTCAAAATACATTTTTTTTTCCTATGTTGCTTTGCTTTGATATATGTTCTCCAGGGCAGTGACCAGCCCCCCTTCCTCCCACCATTACGAAATTGGTTTGACAATCCCTTGCCTATTAGCCTAGAAAATGGCCACTGCTATCTTTTAACCTTCGGTTCCTATTGACTTCAGTAGGGTTTAGATTTGCACCTTGAATTTTTGTTAAGTTTGCAAATTTACCCTGAATCCAAACCCTAAGCATTTGGCTCATAACTACTCTTTAGGTATGCAACCATGATACAATTGGCTGCTTCTTTTACAAAAACAATACTTACTAATAAAATTCCACCTTAGCTGATTAATTTTTGTTAAAGTACACTCATTAATGTTATGCATCCTAATTAGCTGCTGTTTGCTGTGCATTTAATGTTTTTTACAGTTTCATCAAGCCATTAGACCCAATTGGTTGATGTTTTTTAGGTTGTAACTGCCAATCAAAATTAAATACTTAAACCATTAGGAGTGAAGTCATGGTGTTCATGGTTTCAAGTGACAACAAAGAAAATAGCATAGTAACAGGAGGAAGACTGAAATAGGAAGTCCTAAGAATTAAAATGTTAACATGCAAGAATACAGGTGTATTAAAAAGCTGGGCTCACCAAATTGAAAATGGTTGGGCTGATTTTGAATCCTACTATCTTTTTAAAGCCTAAAAATAATTATAGTCCTAATACTGAACTGGTTTAAAAAAAATTATTAATCTCTTGCTTATGGTCGATATAATACTGCCACTGGATTTTTTGAGCTATAAAAACATTTCAGGGTCAGCTTGTTTACACCTGTAAGTAAAAAAGGACATGGCTCTCCTAATGGTGTCAAGAGTTATCTCTGAAGATTTGTACAGAAGGGAATCCTGAACAGACAAAAAAAAAAGCCATCAAGGATGGCTAAGGCATAATTTCTAAAACTTTGAGAGCTGTGGGCATCAAAAGTAACAGAAGAGTTATTGCCTCCTATACTTTGCCCATTATCAGCAGCCATTAGGAAGTCGAAGCATGCTGTGTTTCCCAGCAACTGTAGCACTAATAGTTCTCCCTAAAGACGGCACCATGGGGCTTTATTCAGCCTTAGTACAGTTTGTCACAGGCATTGTGGTATGAATGATCTTTAAAACTGTCTTTGATGTCCCATACATCTGACCTTTGTCTTGTTTGTCAAAGTACACAAAAAGTGAAAAAATAAGTAAACTTATAGGAAGTAAATGCACAGAAAATCCATTTAATGCCTAATAAGCATATCTGGGAACTATCCAAACAACTTTCAAAGACTGCTTACACTAACTCTTTGAAGATTTCAATAGGGATGTCACATTAGTCATTAGAGAAAGACCAAATGTTTCTTGCATGTTCTCCTAAGATAAGGTAATATATTTTGTCACCATCCACACAATTCAGATATTAATTGAATGCCCAAGTCATAATGTTAATTAGAAGCTTCAGGTTTGATTTAAAGTGGTTGTAAAGGCTCCAGGTTCTTTCACCTTCATGTATTCTATGCATGAAGTTAAAAAACCTTCAGTATGCAGCAGCCCCCCCAGTACTTACCTGAGCCCCATCGCTATCCAGCGATGTTCATCGGAGCCTCGGCTCTTCGAGGACTCTCTCTCGTCATTGACTGAGACAGTTGCCATCAATCACAGCCAGTGAGCCAATAAGGAGAGAGAGAGGGTGGGGCCGAACCACAGTTCTGTGTGTGAATGGACACAAAGAGCAGTGTCTCGGGAGCGAGCCTGCCTGGGTGCCCCCATAGCAAGTTGCTTGCTCTGGGGCACTTGGCAGGAGGGAGGGGCCAGGAGCACCAGTGAGAGACCCGAGCAGAGGAGGATTGGGGCTGCTCTGTGCAAAACCACTGCACAGAGCCGGTATGACATGTTTGTTATTTAAAAAATAAAAATCCTTTAATATCACTTTAAAGTAGATCTAAGTCCAATCACTTGAATCTTGTAGGAATATCAATATGTAATTTCAAAAGTTTTTTTCACAGTATTACTTTTCATTTAAGTAATACTAGGTGATCATGCCACTAAGGTCCTGTCTCAGGCACTTCCAGTGACAGACTGACAACGGTCTCTCAACTGTGCTTCCTGTTATACGGATTTCTGATTGAGACTGCACGTTTCTGTTTTAACACACATTTTACAGACATGGTCTACTGCTGTAACCATCAGGAAATGCTCCTTAAGAAATTACATGCAGCCATCACTGGAGAGCAGACAATTGCTGAAAAGAGGCCTCAAAAGCTCAGCAGAACTGAGATGTAAAAAAAAAAAAGATCAACATGTTTTTAGGGATTTAAATATCTATTGTTAGACCATAGCAGATAATGATAAAGGATGTAGGTTTACAGTCTTTGAGAACCAAGCATTTTTTTTTAAACAATGACATGTAGCAGAATACATTTTTGCCTAAATTTATGGCAAATTTGATTGGATATTATTAATAGCAAAAAGTAAAACATATTGTTTTTTTTTTTTTTCAAAAATGTCAGTCTTTTTTTGTTTATAGCACAAAAAATAAAAAACACACAGGCGATCAAATACCACCAAAAGAAAGCTCTATTTGTAGGGAAAAAAAGGACATAAATTTAATTTAGGTATAGCATTGCATGACCGCACAATTGTCTGTTAAAGTAACGCAGCGACATTTTGCAAAAAATGGCCTGGTCAGGAAGGGGGGTAAATCCTGTGGAGGGCAAGTGGTTAAAGTATAGTTTTCACCACTTCCAGCCGTATTCAACCACTTCCTGTACACTTTCTATATACACTAACCCCAGAGACAGCTGTACATTGTTGCTCTGAATTGGTTTGCCAATAGTAACAAAAGCTGACCATGCCTGTACAATGTGCATTTGCACGGCCACTTCTAGTCTACACCTGGAGAACATGTGACAGGATTGCAACACAATAGCTTAATTTGGAGGTAATTGTCACTCTATAGGAAGTGCTGAGCAATGACCTTCATTGTTGAATTAA